AGTTATTTATTTTCTTAATATTTTTTACTATTTCACGTATAATTTCAAATTGGAAATATATTTCTCTAGTCAAAGCAATTTGTGCTCAACTGTATAAAAAGTTCAGCAACGAGTTGCTAAACTTTCCCGGTAACATTTTGATGGCGCCATCTGTTATCATATTTTATTTTAAAAACTTTATATATTTTTAACTACTATAAAATAACAAAAAGCTTAATTTTGAGGGTAGGGATGGGTTTTATAAAAAATTATAAATGCTAATAACGAGTAAAATCGTCATTATGTCCGATCCAATTGGAGATACACACGATCCCCTTTATCTCCCCACTCTCTCGACCTGTATCTATCAAAATTTAATAGCATCAATCCCCCTAATAAACAAATCTCCTTGCACGATTTCAGACATTTTTTACCAAAAGCATTGGAGTTATTAAGCTTCAAATAGGATTAACAAAATCCTGCCCCCCCACACACAAACACTAACATCCATACATACAAGAAAAATGCCCTCTTTTTGCATTTCTCGACGTTTCAAAGTCCCGAAGTCCAAAAATTTTAAAATCTGGGGGATCATTTTTTGCCGGATCGCCAAACTTTCCCTCTGTTATATATCAATATAACAGCCGGGAAAGTAAAAAATAAAATAAAATCTATCAAAGTCAGTCAATTAAATATTGTGGTTACATAAGACCGTCAGAGAAAAAATACATGAAAAAAAAATCAAAATGACAAATTTATAACATAAAAAATTTAAACTGAGATCTAATTTAATCTATCTATATATATAACCCATTCAAAGTGTCCGTCTGTCCCGTAACCGTTTGATAACGGACACTAGAGGCGCCCCTATCGTGTGTCATATTTCAAACATTCAAATTAACAATTTTAATTCTTATTTAAATTAACAATATAAATTTTTATTATTCATTTGGCCCATAAATTATTATTTGGTCAATATAACAATATAAATAATTCAGTATATTTGTAAGAGGAATTTATTATTTCAGGGGCTTATATCTCTCGAAGGGTCAGAATAGGGGTATGGTTCCTTTGACTGTATTGTTAGCACAGGGGCTACAGTTTGGGGGGGTCGCCACCTCTTCATTCGGAGGGTAAATCTTACCATTGGGACTTTAACAGAGCTGTACAGCATATTGATAGGAACAAAAAAGTCAAAGGAACCATGCCTCATGGAAATTTGTAAATAACGCCCACTAGGGGGCGTCCCAGGCTACTAGTTCTGTATATTATACTCAAAATAATTTTTGTCATTGAGTTCATCATTGTTGAGTTGTTGCATCCAGGTTCATTGCATTGTATTATTGTTCATAGAATAACTAGTACCATCACTTGCCTCCATCAAAGACTACAGAAATCTCTGATAATTAGTTCCGTTTTATATTGGTGAATAACCTAATCAACACTTTTATTTCATTTATAATTGTTGACTGGCTGGTAAATACGTTTTGCAGCAATTTAATGCTATTTAGAGATATAAGTAAAGAAATTTGTTATTTCAAAATGAGATACAAATTTCAATCATAATAAATACTGGAAAAGTTCATTTCTGTTTACAAAAGTTTGATTTATGAGAGACTTTTGGAAATGAGATAAACTTATAAATCTAGTCATGCTGTATTTTCTTAATATATTTATTATATCTTATAATTTTATTTTAAAAGTCACTTAAGGTGATATTTGATACATTTATTTATATATGTAGTTATGGAGAAAATTACTTCAACATTACAAAAAGGAGATATAGAAATGTTGAAAGAAATTGTCTTGGAAGGATACGGCAAACATCTTTTAGGGAGAACTTCATGGAATGAAGATGTCAGACAATATTTGAAAACATTACCACAGTATTTAGTAAGTTCTTAGCTATTTTTGATTGTTTTCATGTAAAAATGAATATTTATTTCTTTATTAATAAACTAATATATAATTTTTATGAATTAATAAATAAATATTTATTTATTTACTACAAAAACTGAATTCTTTTCAGTTTATGTAATGTCAATTAAATGTAAATGTACCAATACAATAACTTAACTATCCAGTGACATCTCTGTAGTTAACTATTATTAAAAATAAAAAAAATACTTCCAAAACTATAAAAAAAATTTTTAAGTACTTTGCAGAATATAGTGTCATTTAGTCCCATCTACAAGAGCAATATACATGAGCATGCTTTTACAGTCAACTCACATTAATATGCTCACTTTTACTCTGCTAGAGGAACAGTAGTTAGTTTGCTTTATCAAAAATTCATATTAATGATTTTCAGGGTCAGGGTTGTATAATTTACAAAGTTAATAGGCAATTGAAATCTCTGAATTATAATATTTTGAATTAATTTATTAAATAAAGTTAAAATTATTTACAAAAATAAATTAATGATCTAAATCAGGGATGGGCAACCTTTTTCTAAGAGCTGCATTTCAAAACTTTTGAACTGACGCGGGCTGCATACAAGAGAAAAGAGGAAAATAATATAGATAAATCACAATTATTTATTCATATATAATTATAAATTAGCAAAGGTATACTTAATTAGCTTCTTGAACTGCTGTAAACATAATATATCGAAATATTTAATTAAATATTAGTCACTGCTAGTTTTAAATTAGTTGCGATTTGAGTCTGTTAACCAGTTTCTTGTTTTAATTTTTATTAAATTTCATTGTGGGAAACACTATTCACACACATAACTTGTAGAAAATAACATTTGAATTTTTTCTGCACTCTTCCTTAAGCTGGGAAACTGACTTATTTATTCATATTTTATGCGAGGTGGGCTACAAAAAATATTAATGCAAACCATGGGTTGCCCATCCCTGATCTAAATGATTTTCAAATCAAACAAAATACAGAGGAGACAGTATTTGCCATTTAAGTGTGGAGCAGTATATCAGAGTGGTTAACAAAACAAAACTAAAAGAAATCTGTAATTTTTTTCCTATTGAAGATTGTTTGAAAAAGTACAAAATATTTTTTGGTGTCAAAAGAGCAATTTTTTGCTCTTGACAAAATTGCCACAATTGACCAAAATGGTACAAAGTAGCCACTGGCATCACTGTATGCACCCAATATCCAAACTAGCATGTGTTTGCATGAAACTTTATTCATTTAAAGGGATGAATGTCCTTAAACTTTAACCCCTATTTTCTGAATATAATAGAATGTTTCACTAAAATCAGATGTTTGAATTGTTCTGCAATCAGAGGTCAAACCCGTCTTTGCTAACTAAAAGAAAAAATTATTCTATTCAAAATAGAACATTTATTACAATACTACTTTGCTTTTTACTTTCTGACTTGAATAATAAAATCATTATTTGAGATAGGATTATTTCTTGAAGGGTTGTGAAAGTAATTTACAGTTCATTTTAACAAATTCTGGTAAAATTATTGTTCTCTTTATTCTGAAAAAATTAACATTGTAACAATGATGTTTTGCCAAGGCAACAGCAAAATTGCTTTGATATGAGAATATGCTTTATTGATGTTCATTTTAAGGCAAATCAACTGTATATGCACAGAAATAACATAAGTTCAATATAAATGTTTCCATAAATAATTACTCTCAAATTGAAATTATATAATGTTAATAAATAATCAATTGCAGAAATAATTACAGTTGAATTTGTCTATCTCAAACCTCTTTATCTCAGTTTATTTTCCCCCAGCATTTTCAGCCTAAATTCAATATATTTTCCATATTTATCTTAAATAATTTTCTTCCAAAACACATATATATCAAATTATGGGCTGAAATGTCAATTATTATTTCAAAGCTCAGCAACTACATTTTGATAGCATAAATTATAATTGAGAAATATCTCTTGCAATAAAATACATAGTTGCAATCAATGCAGCTTTTCTTTGATTGGCTACAAGTTTGGTTTGGTTTATTTGTTTATGGCAACACAACACATGGATGATCTGCCAAGAGGGGAATGCCTCCTGGAGGTCTTTTATGGGAAACTGGCCCCTATTTAGGTGTTACAAACACAAAGAAAACAAGGAAAACAACACATGGCCAGTCTTGACAAGGCACAACCCAGGACCAACTACCAGTGTTCAGTGGTTTCATCCACTCCTTCACTGGTAGGTTAGACTATGAGTTTGGCTTGCATCATATTGACTGAAGAAAGTCAGGCATTAGAAACTGTTGACAAACTATTTCTGTTAAGATATGTCAAAAATGTTTTATTTGTACTTAATGTATGTACTGTACTTGCTAGAGTATTAATAAAATACTCTACCTCCAATCAAATCTATTACTGTTTACTGTGTATAAAGCTCTATATCTCAAAACCTCTGTCTAAATTTTTTATCATTCCTGTGAGATTCAAGGTAGACAGGTTCAACAGTATTATTAATTTTAAGAATTGTTTGATTTATTTTTTCTTATAATTATTAATAAAAAATTGTTTATAAATTGCAATATTTTTTAGATGAAAGATAATTTTAAATTCATAGTGATTGAAAAAACTATTAATCAACTTTAAACCTTTTCAGGCTACTATTAGATCACTTCAAGAAGCTGTGATAGCAGGTGATATCAATACTATAGAAAAAAGGATAAAGGATGATGAAAAATTATTAAAATCAAAAGATGAATCTGGATTAACTCCAATACACTTGGCTATTATTCATAATAAGCCAGAAATAGTCAATTATCTAACAGCAAAGTATCCAATTGTTTTAAATTTAAAAGATATAGTAAGTATATTGCATTAGTATTTAATAAATTTATCTCTCTTTTTGCAATAATCTGAAATAATTATTATTTGTAACTACTCTCTCAATATATATATATATCAGTGGCATGCCGTGACATTTGATGATAGGGAAGCTGTGTTTTTGTAAGAATCCGACTTCCAGGGACAATCAGTTAATTGCATATCAATGATGGTCTAGGGTCCATTCGTATCATTTGCTTGATAAGCCAGTAAAAACCGTAGACTTCTCTAAATGTATTTTTAATATCAGAATTACATTCTAAATTGCTAGCCTCAATATAAGGGCTAAAATTATAAATAAAATAATAAAAACTTACTTGGTGAAATAAAATGTGTGGTGGATGTACAGTACGTACCTGGTACAAAATATTCTTCAAATGTATGAATATACTTTTAAAGAAAATTATAATTAAATATAGCTTTGTAAAGAAACGTACACAAAAATAACATAAAATCTTCTTTACTTTTTAAATCTTAACTTAGTCAAATAGCTCCATACAACTGACTAATGGATGGAATCAGAGACGGTCCTGGTAGGTGCATGCATGCGGGCTGCCAAATCCCAAGGATGCCGATACCAGTCAATGTCAAATGCCTCTTTTGTCGCATCACTAGTATACCTCAAAGGATACAACAGGGTTGTTGTAAATTTTAAACATTTCTCATCATAGCTGTAAAAATCTAAATATGCTAAACTTAATAGATTGTCCATCGTTTGTTTTCTAACTAATTCGTTTTAGGACCAGATGTTGTCCACGGAAATTTCCAAAATTTACGACTTTTCGGTCACTCCCGTTGAACTGGAAAAATTTCTGTCTTTGTTACATCTAATACAGTATTTCGAAGAAATCAGTTCCACTGTACTCAGCTATAGATCGGTTCGGTTAAGCTTTTGTTTAAGTAATATTCCGGCTCTTTCATCAGAAGTTTGTTTATGTCCCCAATTCCCTAATCGTTTAATTATTTAACTACTTCTTAAGTAGAAATAAGTAGAAACCAGCTACTTTGTACTTGAATATTTGTAGTGTTGAGAAAAAGAGGAAAGACAAATTTTTATGACAACGGATACATAAATCGTTAATTTAAGGAAAATAAATTCTAGAGCTTTTTCTGTACCTTGTGCATCTCTCTCGTTCATTAAATTTAGTTGTAAATGTTGCTGCCAAAGTAACAGTTAATTTTTTAACATTGTACAAGAATTGTACACATTTTTTTCTACATCCCTTTATAGATGGGACATACGAAATCATAATATCACTGGTTTAACATTGAAATCCATAAGTAATATAAGATGGGTGAGCAGACTAAAAATATCAAATATTTTAATGGATTTTTTTTTAACTCCTGTCAACTATACAGAACTATCATAAAAACATCATATCAGTAAATTCTTATAGTTTGGGTTAAGTTATAAATCTACTCGTGATTCACATAATCGAGCGAGGGCGGCCAAATATCTAGCAGGCAGGCAGCTATCAGCCAGAACCGATCCTGGATAGAATCATTGGAAGCATTATATGTGTGTAGCTTCCACCAGCTAAACTGGGTGAGGTTGGTGCTATGTAAAGCGCATGCACAAATGAGTATAATCTGGCTGTTTGGAAGCTGACAATACAGTGCTTCCATTCCATCATTAATATTCAAATATACAATAGCAATCTCATCGTTTTTTATTTCATGTGTAGTATAAAAATTTGTAATAAGATACATAATGCGATTATAATAAAATATTAATTTTAATTATATGAAAATAATCACACATTATGTATTTATTTTTTAGAAAATACAAGGGAAGTGGCACTTCCACCACTTCCAATGATGGCACGCCACTGATATATACAGTATATATATATATACAATAGGTTGTTTAACTTTCAAGATGTTTCAGAGTCTTCAAAAGCATAATTTCAATTTCCAACATTAAATGGACAGGGAAATTTATTAAAACTTGTTTGACTATTAATACTGAAATCAAACTGAACAAAACTTTAATATGAATTAGTTTTGTTTTATTTAACAGCATTGTGAGAAGTATTAGGGAAATTGTAAACAATAGAGGTGATAACGAATCACCTTGAAATATCCCTGTTTTGATGTTAACCTCTCCATAATCGTTACCTTTGATCATAAGTTTTGTTTTCCATAGTTTCATGTTTTCAGCAACAAAGTTTTGTATGTTTTTGGTAATTCTCAATAGAGATAAACATTTCTTAATCCAGTTATGAAGAAGTGAATCAAATTCCTTCCTGTAATCAATCCATGTCAGCCACAGATTTCTTTTTCTGTGTTTTTGAGTTTTTAAGCACTATTTTGTAGACGAGTTGATCTTTAGTTTCCCTGGTGCACTTACAATTGCCTTTCTGCTCAACAGGTTAAATTCCATTTTCAGTGAAATGTTCACATAGCTTACTGGCTAAAATAAATACCTGTTAAAACTTTAAAAGCATATATATGTATATATGTATGTATATATAATATGTATGTATATATGTATGTATATATAATATGTATGTATATATATATATATATATATATATACATACATATATACATACATGCATTATGATAAAAAGGTACAGAACTTAGATAAAAAGTAAAGAAGACAAAGGAAACTGTCTATTTATACTGTTTTTAAAACCACAACTGACTTTTTTTTCTAACCAATCACAGCAGGAAATTTAAAATTTTGGGAAGGAGTAATTTTCAAATTAAAATTCAAGACTGAAATTAATCAGTCAATCAAAAGCATAATTTCAATTTCCAACATTAATTAATTAAATGGACAGGGAAATTTATTAAAACTTGTTTGACTGTTAATACTGAAATCAAACTGAACAAATTTCCTTTGCAGTTTTGTGCAAAAGCTTGAAAAAGATGGAAAATGCTGCTAATTGAGGAAAATGGTAAAAATGGGGGAAAAGAGTGCAAAATGAGAATTAAAAATTCTGTTTAATTGGATCAGGAGATAATTTCCTGATGGTTGGTTATGGTTCCCCCAAAAATAAGATCTGCGTTAAAAGTAGTGTGGCACCACAGACTCCTAAACTTACTGATAACATTATCATTTAGTTACTGTTAAATAAGGTAAGCAACTAAAACTTTGGTTAATGAAAATTCTGGTTTTATTAAATCTAACATTAAAAATAAATGCTAAAATATAGTTAAAAAAGTAATTTTAATTAAGATTTCAAGTTCAAGTTAATTATTAATTAATTAATTGTCATTCATCCAGTGTTGTTTGCCTGCTGGTTTTTACAGTAATATCTTTAATAAACAGATTGAAATAAAAAATGCCAACAATTTTATGCTACTTAAACTAATATACTGTGAGTAATTAACAATTAAAATGATCAACATGAACCAAATCAGTGATTTAAATGTCATCAATAACAGTTGCATGTTATCAATCACACATTGAAGCTGATAGACATTTTTGAGCTGTCTTTTTGCACTATTTATTTGAACATATTAACAATTATAAACATATTATGATTAAAATATTATTTTAATCATAATATGTTTTTATAGTTTTTATAAATATTTTTATAGTGTATTTTACTTTATAGCAAAAGTTTTTATAGTGTATTTTACTTTATGTTTAAGACTAGATAATTCTGATGATAATATCCACAATTACAATAAATAAATTGTGCTGGAAAAAATTAAAATTAGAAAAGAGTTTTACTTTGAATTTATACAAAATAATATTTGATTCTTTAATATTATTTTTTAGAATGGTAGAACACCACTTCATCTTGCAGCACAAGAAAATCGTACAGAATTATATAGATTGATGAAGGACAATGGAGCAGATCCCATGATACTAGATCAGGTTATTATTAATTAAATAATATAAATAAAACTATTTATATTATAATAGTTAA